CATCACACAGCCCCCTGGCTCCAGGCGCTGGGGCTGAAGGAAAACAAGAATTCGCATCAGGGCTGGCCCCAGGGCTGGCCCCACTGGCTAGCGCCTGGCTCCCTGCGCGGGGTAACACCGGGCAGCATTCGCTGCGTGCTCCAGGGCAGGAGCGATCTCGGCCACAGGTTCGCGCCTCCCTCGCAGCGCAGGCCGCCCCGCCCCGCCCCGCCCCTGGGAGTAGACGGAAGGCGGCTCGGCCTGAGGCACCTCCCCCCCCACCCAGGGCTGTAGCGCGAATGACGCAGGCGGAAGGACAGAGCACGCCGGGAGCCACCTGCCTCAAAGGCGGAGCTGTAACCCCCTCACGCGGCCGCCTTCTGCCAAGCTACCGGGCGTTGCGAACTGCAACTCCCAGGATGCCTCGCGGCGGGAGGGACGCGTTCCCGGCTGTTTCCGGTTGTTAAGCAATCTCTCCGGGGATTGGCCCGGAGCAAGGGGCCAATAGGCTTTTCCAGTACATGGGGGACGGTGAAGCTAACGCGCTCATGGCTGGCGTGTGACGCCCTGCCGGGGGCGGGGCCTGGTCAGCGAAGGCAGCATGTGCCTGGCGGCGGCCTCCAGCTGTTAGCTGGGCCGGGCGGGAGCCATGGAGCAGCAGAGGGGCGAGGTGAGCGGCGGGGTCCCTGGGGGCCGGACAGGGGCAGAGAGATGCTGCAGCCTCCGATCCCTTTGCCTTCCCCGGGACCCGCCACCGGACACGGTAGTTCCCGCCTCCCCCCTCTCGCCGCGGGGCTGGCCAGGCGGGCGCTGCCCTGCGGGGCTCGGGGCCCTGCGCTGCAGCACGGTGGGTCTCACCCAACGTTACCGTGGCGAGGCGCTTTGGGCGAGAGGCCGCCATTCAGAGCCCTGCTCCGCCCAGGGGAGTGGCTGGGAAGCCCGCCCCGTCCCCTTTGCGGCCCCAGGGGACCCAGGCCAGCCAGCGGGGCTTGGTAGGGATGTGGGCAGCCAGGGAAGGATCCTTCGCAGAGGGTCCCCTGGATTGTGGTGCGGTAACGGGCCCCCACCTGCCTGTGGGTAGATAAGGCTCCTTCAGTTGAGGTAACGCAATCAGTGGTGCCTGGCTTTGGGGTGGGGTGTAGTCGCTGAGCCCCTGGACTTCTTCGCTGCCGGCTTTTGGCTCTGGCCCGTGCCCAGGGCTGTGAACAATATCCCGTTTTCCTGCCGCTGCCTGGGCGGGGAACGGTTCAGGTTCGATGGGAGCAGCTGGAAGCCCCCTTGTTCTTTAATGGGAGTTGGGTCTGTTTACACGAGGACCGAGCCTGTTTCACTGTGTCCCAGTATGTGTCTGGCTGCTCTTGTTTTGAGGCGGGAGGAAGAGGGAAAGCAGTATGGAGTGCAGGGATTGGAGACTGAAGGGGATCTCTTGCCCTAAAAGTTTGTTACTGCATTGCCACCTGGGAGCAGTAAAGGACTAGTGACTTTGAAGTAACCAGTCAACCTCCAGTGCGACTACTGTATTGCTGATCCTTCCTTGCTATGTGTCTCTGTGAACTGATCTCTCCTTATACCTCCACTGTGGCATTTCTGGCCTCTCCATCCTTCTGCCACCCCTCACCATGCACTACCTCATGGAGGCTGATGCTTTGCTGCAGTTGCATGATCTCTTAGGAACAACTTATCCCCTAACTTCCTTCATCCCTATCCAAAGCCCAGTTCAAACCTCCTCTTACCCTACATTCTTGCAGTCATCAACCCTTCTTGTCTTGCCTTGTTCACTGTCCCTTTACCCTCTTGCTCCTCCTTACTAACAATCCCATTGCTGTAGCAGCTTCGGGTCTGGACATAGTCATGAACAACTCATGATGAAATTAAATGTTAAACTCTTTCATTCATACAAATCTGTCTGTCCAAGGTTTAATATGTAAAAATGAGACTTGTCCTGTTTTCCTGCCACTGCATCTGCTGAGCTAAATTCAGCCCTGACATAAGGCAGTGCAGTTGTTCCTTAGGAATTGCACCTCCTTGTTTCAGTACTGAATTTGATCCCCGAGTCCCAGGCTTTATTGGGGAATGTTGGGGTGGCATGGAATTCAGTGGCTGAAGCTGAAATATCTCCTCTGTGTTAGACATGTCAGTGCCTTGCCATGCTGCACAGAAATATCCAATGCTGCCAGTGAACCGGTTCAACTACTGGGAAGAAGAAGAATGGATGAAGGGACATGTTCTCTACTCTTCTCCCCTCCCACCCCCCCAACTTATTACTACCCTCTTCCTTTAATATGGCTGTAGGTCTCCTACATTCTCACTCCTGATATCCTTCCTCCACCCCCCACTTTCTGCACTTCTGTGACTGAGTTCTTCTTCTCTGGGAATGCTGAGTATGATGGGTAAAACATTATAAGAGAACTCACTGAGCAGGTGGGAGTCCTCTTCCCCTCCGCCCCCTACACTCCCAAGTGAGTCGGACACACTTGCTCTTGGGTCTGCTAGATAGAATCCTTAACAGCCACACCAGGTTTCCCCTCCCTAAGCCTTGTGGGACAACCCTGCTGTGCTGAGGCCAGGCTTACTGCATAAGGGTATATTGAAAATCTCGGGTCTGAAGAGTTGTTCTCTCCACTAGTTGTCTCCCTTCTGCCATAAGACGTCATCCTTGGAGCGGATGGAGGAGGAGGATGACGAAGAGGAGGATGAAGATGATGACGACTTGGACTTGTTTGGGGGTTATGATAGCTTCCGGGGTTACAACAGCAGTGTGGGCAGTGACAGCAGCTCCTGCCTGGACGAGTCTAGTGATAATGATGTGGCAGATCGTGAAGCTGGGGAGCTGCCCACCTCCCCTCTGCCGCTACATCCGCCCACTACAGGCCGATTGATGGAGGACAGCGGCTCTGAGCCAGGTACTGTATGCGCTGCATGCAACAAAGAGGCACAATAGCTGATTAGAAACCGATATGGACCCATTTGAAAGCAGTACAGTGCTTCAGGATATGTGTGGTGGTTTAGCTTAATACTCATGCCCTGGGAGTTGAACTGCCCAGTGATTGTGTTCTATGTTCTCTGAGTTCTGTCAAGAGGCTCTCAGGGTTCTGCTGGGGCTAGTCAAATTAGTTACACTTCCCAGTGCTGTAGCATTGGTGGCCTGGGCTTGGCCCCTGCAGGGTTAATGCTGTACCCCCAGCTCTAGTTCTGTGCATCTTCCTCTCCCTCAGCTGTGTGTGAAATGTGTGGGATCGTGGGCACAAGGGAAGCTTTCTTTTCGAAGACCAAACGCTTCTGCAGCGTCTCCTGCTCCAGGAGCTACTCCTCAAACTCCAAGAAAGCCAGCATCCTGGCAAGGCTGCAGGTGAGTGACACCCACCCGGAGGCCTCTGAAATCAAAGTGGGAGTAGCCTGTAAGGGGAAGTGTCAACCATCTGCTGATAAGCCTCTAGCAAGTGCGGTCTAGTCCTTATTGGTGCCTCCCTTCCTTCCTTGAGGGGCACTAGGGCATGCTAAGGGTCCCGCTCTCTGCATGGGTGGGAAAAGATGGGGAGAGCAGAACTGCACTGTATCCATGGTGTTTCTGGCTCTTCATGGCCCAGTGAGTGTAGAAGAATGTCATGACCTCTGAAATCCTTCATCCAGAGATAGGGAGGTGAGTCTGCACCTTGCCTTCAGGAACACATTATCCCTGTGCCTCTGGATCCCAACTTCCTCTTCTTTTTATGCTTCCACAGGGCAAACCACCTACAAAGAAGGCTAAAGTCCTGCACAAGGCAGCATGGTCTGCCAAAATTGGGGCATTCCTCCATTCCCAGGGGACAGGGCAACTAGCAGATGGAACGCTGACAGGCCAAGATGGTAAGTGCAGGTTGGGGTGGAGAAGGAGCTGTGCATTAGACAGGCTGTGCATACGCTTCAGAACCAGCTCACCTTGACGCTCTTCTCTTGTCCTCCTGCAGCCCTTGTCCTGGGCTTTGACTGGGGAAAGTACCTGCAGGACCATGGTTACAAGGCTGCCCCCGTCAGCTGCTTCAAACACGTGAGTTCTCCTTATTTTCTGTGCCTTTCTGCCTGTGTATAGTGTGTCATGTCACCGGGGCTTATTGGCTTCTTCCTGCGTGTATGAGATGAGTGAGGAAGAGGTTTGGAAGCCACATGGTATAGAAGAGCTTGATATCAGACTTTGTCTCTGTCTCCTGACAGGGAGGGAGTCTGAGCCTTCCTGGTCATGCTGGAATCCTGTGGAGGGAAATGGGCAGGGATCTTGGTGTTATCTGAGATAGAAATGTCATTGAATGGCATCAGCCATTCACAGCTGTAACCAGTTCCAGCCACTATGATTTGGGGCCTTTGGAGGTGGTGGTGGGTCGTGGGAGGGAAGTGGGACTCTGTCCTCCCAAGTTGAGCTGGAGGGAACCCCAAACTCTTTAGAAATAGAAACCGTGTCTCTCTGTCTGTCTGTCTTCTTCCCCCCATCCCCACTTGAGATGTGGGTGGGTCTTCGCACAATGCCTTTAGTTTCTCTGGTATTACTTTGTTCTTCTCACTCCACGGTCATGTCGTGGACTAGAGGAAATGGCTGTGCTATCTGCCATGCTGTCCCCTGGCATACACGTAGCACACATCCCATCCAGACACAGCACTACTGCTAGTGCACCAAGGCCACGGTCATCTGGATTAGCTTGCTTTGAGTGAAGCTAACAGCCACTGGTTCTCTGCTATGTCAGTCTCCCTCAAGACAGGGCCATTGTGGATGGAGCTTGCCTGTTGTCTTAGCCCTGCTGATGCCAATGGTCTTCCCAATAATTATCCACATCACGCTTGTCATTGCCTGTGAGAGCCACGTTCTGCTGTGTAAGACTCTAGTTGGCTGGAATCCACCTGCCCATACAGTAGCATCGCACACACCATTACCATGGAGCTCTGTATTCTCACAGCGAGCAACATCATCTGCTTCTGCAACCCAGCTGATTCTATTGCCAGCATGTCTCAGAGGAGACCATCTTACAAGGTTGCTGCCACAGGCCTGAGGCTGATGTCTGGTCTCTGATGCCTGTCTGGGGAGAGGAAGAGGTCCCTGGCCAGCTCAGCCTGGTTTAGTGTATAAGTTGGCAACTGAGTTCAGACTGGCCGAGATGGACATCGCTTGGAGTGTCAGATGGTGCTGTGAGGAGATGGAGGCAGGGAAGATCTAGTATGAACGGTTCAGAACACCCTTCCACTCTGCCTGATTTGCTACTAACTAGCATGGAGGCAACATGCAGTGCTTTGTTGAGGGGACTCTAAGGAGAACTCTCAGAAGGACAGTAGATCCATGGCCTAGCTGGACTGGAGCTGCTGGTTGCATTGCCAGCTTCCCACAATGCCAGCTTTCAGGAATCCTGGATCTGGAGAAGACAGCCAAGCTGAGTTGGCAGGACTAGGAATTGGGAGATATGGGGCCCTGTACAGCAGCAGGTACGCACCTTCTTACTGTTTTATGTACTGATTGGGGAAGTGGGGAGGTTGATTTCACAGGGGTGGGGGAAAGGGGTCTTCTGGATGCTGTGGTTAGTGTATGTAAAAGGGCAGTTATAACCTTGCATGAGGGTGGAAATATCCCTTTTTCCCCCTTCCCTTATTCCAACAGTCTCCACCCATATGCCTCTGCAGCTCTTGCCAAATCCCTTATCAGCTCAGCTGTTTTGGTGCTGTGTCACCTCCCAGGCTCTCTACCTGTTTGTGCCCCTCCTTCCTTTCGGCTCATAGACCACTGTTCCCAGTCACGGTGGAAATGCCTGCATTAGCCTGCACAGTGCCTGGCTGAGCCACACTATGTGGCTGGACTCAACTTGGCAGATCCTTGGGGAGATTGCAATGTAAAAAGCCTTAAAAACAAGAGACTTTTTAATTGCAGGAAACTACTGGCTGGGCACAATGGCCACAACATTCATGTGAGATTATATCCGTCTGCCCCATTTGCAGTGCAGGCTGTCTAACCAGATTGCTGCCTCTATCTACCTGCAATCTCCCATCAGTCTGCCTTCCTGTTAAAAACATGGAAAACACTCAGGCATATTTTATTGGCAAAGGGGTAAGCAAACAAAGTACAGCCCATAGGTTTAGGATACAATAATTGCACTGCCTATTCCCGACTGTCTGTTGACATGCAGTAAAATCAGACACCAATTAGTCTTGGCCCTTGGCTTTTCCCACACCTGGAACATTTTATTTGGAAAATCTCTGAGCAGGTCCTTCAGTCTTGTTATAAAGTATTATGGCAATGATAGTTTCCCTCCTCCCCCACAAAAGCTCTCACAAAGCTTGGTCCCCTCTCATCTGTGTGAACCACTACTCCAAACTTACCAGCTTTCTCCCTTGCTCTCTAAAATGGCTTCTTTCCCTTGACGGGAGCCCTGTAAAGAGATGGTTTGCAGGATCTTTTTTGGCCCACAGTAAGGATGGCCCACAACATGTGCTGACAGACATGCCCTGGTTGAGTTAAACTAGTGAAAGCCCCATGTGTGGACACCGCCAGTTTTAAAGTAATGTATCTGTAAGCCAGGGTTAAATGGATTTTAGGAGTGTCAACATAGAATTGCACTGAATTAATGGAAGGTGCGATTTAAGCAGATTCAGTTGAACTGGTGGAATTTTGTGCATAGGCCAGAGATCTAAGCCACCTTTCCTAATTCAGTTCGGATCATTCCTTGCTCTTCTCCCTCTATCCTATTAAGTAGCATCTTCACCCACCCTTATTCCTAGAAGTGGTGTGTGAATACCAATGCTATGTCTTTGCCATCTCTAGTCCAAGAAGAAAGTATCTTGCAAGAAGGAACTAGAGTTTGAGACTGAAGTGAAATTATTACTTTTATCATATTGGTTGGTATATTGGATGTGCTGTTGCTTTGGCTGTTAACTCTCTCTTTTCATTTCAGTGACCATTGCACCAGTATAGACCTCCCAGAGCAGGCTGGGAGGAAGCTGATCAGATCCACTGCAGTGAAAAGGTTCACAGACCTCGGGGACCAGAAGAAAAGCGGACAAGACGTGTTCTGGATCATGTGCCAGGGTTCTGAACTCATGTATGAGTTTGAGAAGGTGGTTAAAATGAGGCTTGCCTATGAGAGACAAGGGAAGGTTCTGCCAGGAGGACAGGAAAATGAAGCAGAACTCTTTCTGGAATGAGAAGTGCAAATGGAAGAGATGGTTCCCAAAGAAAACACCAAATAAACAGTGGCTCCGGAGAAAATGGCTGCTACATTGACCTAACATTAGGCCTCCTGGCCAAGGCTACAGTGTAAATGTGGCTCCAACAAATCGCCCACTGTGATCTGTTGCACTGTGCTGTTATGTCTTACTCTTGCAGCTGGCCTATAGCCTTTGGTGTTTAATAAAAATATTCCTGGATAAGAGAGCCTCTGGCTGACTTAGACAGCCCCCCTCCTCCTCTTTAATTGTAATACCGCACTGAATTATTCCTCTCTACAATTCCCTCCCCACACCACATCGCTCATCTAAGCAGGAGTTATATACATGCATACAAACAAGGATGTGCTCACTCCACTCGAACAGTGCATAACCTCTCTTAATTGAAGCAATTGGCCCATCACTACACCCCCAATGCTTTCTGCCATAAACTTCCACACTATACACGTGAAGGGCCTAAATCTATCACCCTTACATTGTTTTCAGGGCAGGTACTAGTCAAAGGGACTACTACCAGTGAAAGCTGCTAATCAAGGTGGTAGAGCTGAGCTCTAAGCTAAGGGGATAATAACTATAGATCACTGAAGGAGAAACTGAACCCTAGTGCAGCGGAGTCCTAGTGCAAAAACTGAATTCCCACTATCCATTAGCACTTTGAAGGTGGATGCATAGAGAGCCTCTGTCTTGTACTTCACCATTTGCATGCAGTACTAATATAAATAACCGCTTCAAATGCAGCAGTGTGCCTGATCAGCTGCCTGTAGCTTGCAGTCAATTCTGCATCTTCACAACATTGTTCATGGAAGTCATCTCCCTTAGTTTCACATCTGTTATACAGTAAACAGCTGTTATAATTGCTATGCTCGTCCGTGTGTTGTCATTGCAGGTCAGTGGGTATCTCTGCCTTGCTCTCAGCCACCCCAAAAACCCATTCTACCGCCTTCCTGCTAAATATATAGCTAAAATGGCATCCTCTGAGTGGGTGTGATTAGGAAGTGGCCATGCACTTAGGATCACACTGGGGGTGGAGACACCATTCATGTCAATATTTTTATTATGGGAATAATTCTCCCTCCCTCTGGTCCATTCTTAAACTCTAGACTTTTTCCATATTGTGGCATCATGTGGTTTGGGTGGTCTTCCTATATACGTGTTCAGGTACCTGCTATGCTGCTCCACTGGGGCTGGTGTCACCATGAGGCAGTGCTCCTCTGATGTACTTGTGGGAGAAGAAGGGCCAAGTGAGTTCTATTGATAGCTCCTAAACCGTTTGGAAATTGTAATACTTCAAGTCCTTCAGTGATTTCTGGCACATTGGCCACCTTGCTCACGCACCCCTACTACACTGTACTGCCATGCATGCAGACCATGAAATAGCAACCATGATAGTAGCACCTACTGTGGTCTTCGTGACCTCAAACTGGTGTCCAGCTGCCGGGTGATTGTCTGGGGTAGCCAGCTTCCATGGGGCAATTGACTCTTTTTTTTTTCATAGTGATTAGCACGCTTGTCCTAATGGACTGGCACCGCAGGGTCACAGTTAGCTCACCAGAGGTATGGAAAACTCTTCTTTCTCATTCTGAAGTTATGCAGTCACTGCTGCTTGTCCCAGAGCCAGAGAACAACTTGGTGGTGTCAGTCTTGTTATGATCTGGGCGCTAAAGCCATCTTTGGATTTCAAAGTCAATACCCCATTGGGATGAACTGAACAGTTCAGAACTTGCTGTTTCAGGGTGTGTGCAGATTTACGAAGGCAATTGTACCTCATTATGCTGGGTTCATGTTGTCATAGTTTCTCTTTACAGCCCTAAGGGCTAGAAATACCTGTGGTTTAAATGAAAGCATACATTTTGGAGCACAGCTCTGTGAGCAAGTGGCAGATTGTGTCTGCAAAATACCATTCCCTTCTCGCCTCTCCCTTCATTTCTGCCCCAATCTTGCAGGTGCCGCTGTTTGAGCAGTGGGAGGACGTGATGAAAGGGATGAAGGTGGAGGTGTTGAACAGTGATGCTGTGCTCCCCAGCCGGGTGTACTGGATCGCCTCTGTCATCCAGATCGCAGGTAGGTCTCTGAGAGGCTTATCAGGAACTGAGAAGGATTGGCGATAACTGAGGAATGTTTAAAAGAGCTAAATCTATCTGGCCTGGCCATATGACAACTTAATGGGGCTAGGGGAGCCATCCAGGGGTCTTTGAAAGGGGGAAATGCCAAGAGGGAGAAGAGTTGTTTAGGAGCAATAGATGGAACCTAGACAAAGGTAAACCGGCAGGACTCGTGGAAGGACTTTGTGTTGGTGCGCTCCATTAAGCTGTGCTAGTCTTCCAAGGGAAGTGGTGGAAGTCCTTTCGCTTGAATCACTGGAAGCCAATTTCCGTGTAGCGCCGGAGAATGTATTGTAGGGAACAAAGTAACCAGTGCAGAGAAACTGTCAAGATTTAATGCATCTCTTCCCTCTCTCGTCTCCGGCAGGATACAGGGCGCTGTTGCGCTACGAAGGCTTTGAGAATGACTCCAGCCATGACTTCTGGTGCAACCTGGGCACAGTGGACATTCACCCCATCGGCTGGTGTGCCATCAACAGCAAAATCCTGGTACCCCCCCAGAGTGAGTGCCTGTCGGGTGCCGTGCTGTGAGAGGAGGTGCCAGTGTTTAATTCCACACATAGCAGTCTTGGTTTCTCTCCTAGTTCAGTCTTGCGGTGTCATGTTTGTAACGCTTGGGAATACAGATCCGCTGCTGTCTTCTGTTATAAAGTGTTCATTTCTCTTGGTCCTCAGAAAGCAGCTCCTTGCATTGCTCTCTCTGCAACTCCCTCTGGTTGACTAGGAGTGGTGCTGGAGGGTGATGGGAAGAATTGTGTCTATCCATTCTCAACCAGAAAGCTCACTAGAGGTGCTGGTAAAAGAGCAGGATTCTGGCACATGGGGGGGAGGGCGGGAGGGTTAAATGCTACTTACGTAGTTTGAAATTGACATATCTTGACTTACACTTCTTACTCAGATGATTTCCATTTCCAAAGCCTATTCCAATCTTCCCCCCTGGCCCCTATGACCTTGGAACAATTTACCAAGGCTCGGGGTGGATTCTCCATCCCTGATCATCTTTAAATCAAGACTGGATGTTTTTCTAAACTATCTCCTCTAGGAATTATTTTGGGGAAGTTCTATGGCCTGTGTTATACATGAGGTCAGACTAGAGCAGAGGTTCTCAGCCAGGGATATGCATACCCCTGGGGGTATGCAGAGGTCTTCCAGCGGGTACATCAACTCATCTAGATATTTGCCTAGTTTTACAACAGGCTACATAAAAAGCACTAGCAAAGTCAGTACAAACTAAAATTTCATACAGACAATGACTTGTTTATACTGCTCTATAGTCTATACACTGAAATGTAAGTACATTTATATTCCAATTCATTTATTTTATAATTATATGGTAAAAATGAGAAAGTCAGTAATTTGTCAGTACTAGTGTGGCTGTGACACTTTTTTGTATTTTTATGTCTGATTTTGTAAGCAAGTTTTTAAGTGAGGTGAAACTTGGGGTACACAAGAAAAACTTGGGGTAGTCTGGAAAGGTTGAAAGCCACTGGACTAGAGGATCATAATGGTCCCTTCTTGGCTTTGGAATCTATGAATCTATACAGCCTCATGTCCCAAATTAGGCCCTGGGCCGGCAATCATATCAGCATGGGCAGACTCTTGCTCCCAAGTGGAGCCCCTTTTAAATTAGTGGGGCCCTGCATGGATACACAGGTTCATGTGTGTCAATCCAGTTGCAGGATTGGGATCTTAGTTTGTAAGTTTTCCAAGGCACAGATCATGTCTTCTAGCTCAGTATCCCACCTCCAACCGGCCTTTGGGTTGAGGGGATTTCCTTTTATCCATTCTAAATTTGGTGCCTTTTAATTTTCATCAAGTGCTCCCTGGTTCTTGTGTTAGGGGCTGACTGACCTCCTCTGTACCAACCACTATTCTAAATATTTATACACCTAGCACAATGGGATCCTGATCTGTACTGGGGCTCCTTGGTGCAAAGATAATAGAAAGAATAATAACTACTAATTTTCTTCTGCTTTCTATGCCAAATGGTTGCAAAGCCTCTCGAGCTCATCAGACACCTGACATTCTGCTGGTGCATAGCTGCAGTGTGTCTGTGAATGTGTGAGTGGAAAAACTAGTGATCATTGGTGTATCTGAATGGGAAGAACATCTTGAATTTAGACCGGCAGTTCCTCGAAAGGAGGGAAGGGGTCAAATGCATTGTTAACTTTGTGCCCTCATGAAGGTGCAACGGGCATGTAACATGAACTGTTATTCTCTGTTCCTGCACAGCCATCCACGCCAAGTACACAGACTGGAGGGGGTACCTCATGAAAAGGCTGGTGGGAGCAAGGACCATCCCTGTGGATTTCCACATCAAGGTAAAGGGGAAGGTTCTACCATCCATCGAGCTCACAGAGGGAGACACAGCACTGTGGGGGGAGTCTCTCTCTCTTGGTTCAAGCTCTGTTCACCTCTTCTGTTGCTCTTTGGCACTGGGAGGGAGAACAAGTATAGTGCAGGGTGGGGAAGGGCATTTTCCTTTAAGGGCTGCCTGACATACTTGGAAAGTAGGACAGAATGCTCCTTTGGCAGTGCGGGTTCTTTGACCCAGTCAGCCTGATTGCTTCTCTTTCAGGACATGGACAGGGCTTAAAAGGATGTTCTTAAACAGTTGAGGCCCAAATATTGGTGGGGGTTTTGTTTTCCTTTGTGCGCGCGCACACAAGCAAATCCTGCTATTAAATGTGAATTGTTTTATTTCAGTGAACGAGCTGTTTGTTTTCAACAGAAACATTCTTCACTTTTGGAAGCACAGCAACATGCTGGGGAATGAGAGAAAGACCAAACTGACTAGACTAGCGTCACTGGCTCTCCTGAAATGCACAGAGTCAGTAACACTGGATGTGAAAAGTCATTTAGATCTTGACAGTTCGGCAGATTTTTTAATAATTTGAAGGGATGTTAATAGATACGACTCCAGTCAATCGAGCGAGAAGGCAGGCTCCCCCTGCTGGCAAGTTTTGAAAAGTTTCTTTCTAAATTTCTGATGGGGAAAATAATACCATGAAATGGCAGGCAGAAAAAGAACTTGACGGGATTCACTTATCTGCAGGATCCAGGGTAGTCAGGGACACTGAACTGGAGACACTGAACTAGAGTCTCCCATGGTTTCTGAGGCGGTTGTGATTGCAATGAAGCTGTTTGTTCATGGGATAATCTGTCAGACCCGCTGAGCCGTGGTGGAGACAAGCTCTGGGGAGAGTTGCCACTGACTAAGGGGAGAGTTGTCAGTGAAGTGCTAGAGAGAGACTGGAATGTTACCGTGTCCAAGGCGTTTCCAGACAGAAATACTCTTTCTCCTCACGCCCAAGTCTGGAGAAAAATTTCTATAAGGCACATATGGGGTTGTGGCCCCATAGAGATGTTGCTAACGTGCGTTTTGCCACATGGCACTAGATCTCCCTGCTCTCTGAGCCCCTGGGCTCTGATATACCAAGGTGATAGGTACTTTATAAATGCCTTTGAACGTTCTCAAGGATAGGTTGGGTTGGGCCTGATCAAAATTTGGGAGTCCCCCAAAGGAAAAGCCAGGGTGATGCGGGTGACTCAGTATGAAGTCCCTTAATTAGTCTGTACAAGTGCTCCAGGATAGTGGTGGGGTTGGAGGGTGTTGCTGGAGGTTCAGTCTTTCTAGGAAGTGTGAAACAAAGGGCCTGATCCCACTCCCCTTGAAGTCAATTGAGAGACTCCAATAAGTTTCTGACCAGAGGTGGCTATGGAAGACCTTTTGGCCACCTTCACCGGAAGTGAGGTGTGAGCCCCCTTGCCCTGGCCCAGTTTGGATTGGAGGAGTTACATTCTGCCAAACTATAATTATCACAGGGATTTCACTAGGACTGGTTATTCAGCCCTTCTTATCCCCAGTTGTGCAACGGCACGGTCTCAGAATGGCTGCTGTGTCCCTCCCTCGAGGTGTCTGTTCCTCCCAGCGCTGATGTGCAGTCAAGTGATCAGTGTGCATGTGGAGAGGGTCATGTTGTATAAAGCGTTTGGGGACGAAGGGCTCTGAGAGATCCTGTTTGTTTGTTGTCCTCGCAGATGGCGGAGAACATGAAGTACCCATTCCGTCAGGGCATGCGGGTGGAGGTAGTGGACAAGACCCAAGTGTCTCGGACGCGCATGGCGGTAGTGGACACGGTGATTGGTGGCCGGCTGAGGCTCCTCTATGAGGATGGAGATAGTGATGATGACTTCTGGTGCCATATGTGGAGCACTCTGATCCACCCAGTGGGCTGGTCACGTAGGGTGGGTCACAACATCAAGAAGACAGGTACAAATCCATGTGGCCTTTCTCGGGACTCTCCCAGCCTGCTGTCTATTGGTTGGTCCCAGAGAGACACTGACACAAGATTAGAGTTGACCCTAGTCCTGGGTTTTCATGGAATGGTTCTGATTCTGACACGGCCATCCCGTGTCCTGCAAGCTGGGCCAGCTGTGATAAAATCACATCACCTGCTTCTAGCCGTAGCAGACCAATGGTTCTGTCTGCCCATGTAACCTACTCTCTAGTATCCATTATGAGATGTTGCAAAGGCCAAACAACCCAGTGTAATGCACCTGGCCAAATACGCTCTGCTGCATGTCAGCGGTACAAGTGTAATTTCTTATTCGATTCCTCAAGAGGCAGTCAGTTTCTCCCCCTGAAGTGTGAGTACGCTGTACCTTTATGTTAGCCTGCATAGTTACAGATGTTATTAATGACTATACATTTATTGAGCCTTATGTGACAAAGCTTGCTGGCCCCTTTAAGAGCAGGTGACGTTAGGTCACCTCTTTCTGGGGCTTGGCCTTTTAAGGAGAGGAATTTGTGGGCAATATAGTTCCCCAGGGGAGTCCAGAGACCAAAAGGCATCATATGATCTTGGACTACTCTTCCCATCAGTTCCTAGAATTCTTCTCCTTATTATTAAGAGGCAGCCTAGCAGCACCCACTCCTAAAGGGGCCAGCATGCTTTGTTATGGTTTAAAAAAGAAATCCAGGTTCAGCGTAGGTGTCCTTCCCTTTCTCCTGCTGACCCCCCAGAGCACATCTCCGCCTGGTTATCATATATTGTGTATAGAAGTTTATATCAGTGATAAAGCTACCATCCTTTGAGTTCAAGGGACCCTTTATTTCCATAATACAGGACATGGTAATACAAAAGGACTGATCCATTTTCTCTTTGTAATTTTGAACATCCCCTTCCAGCCCCCTCTGACTAGCTGGTGCCTTCCGGTTTCTTATCGCTGCTGACCTCTGACCTTAGCAGGGCTCCCCCTCTGTCACAGGAGATCTCTCATTTCTGCTTCTCTTTCTTGTTTCCCTCCCCCGGCAGAAGAAAAGCGCAGTGACATGGCGAACCATCCCACCTTCCGGAAGATCTACTGTGATGCCGTCCCCTACCTCTTCAAGAAGGTAGGAGAGCTCAGCCCTCGTGCCTTGAGACTGCCACGGCAAAGAGGGGTGTTAGCGAAGGAGCAGGAGGACCCAGAGGCGGATTGAGTAAACGGGTTTCTTTATTGCGGTACTTGTTCCCCTTGACCCAGTTGTCGAGTAAGCACTGGAATAGTTACAGCACACTCCTTTTATCTAAGTTAGTATGTAAATACTTACATTCACTACAACGCCCCCAAAACCCTTATTGAGTAATATGAATGCCATATAGTGAATATTAATAGCTATATACTGAATATAATTATCCCAGCCCCTGTTTACTGTTTACAGCATTAAGCATATTCTACAGACATTTTATCTTGAAGATACATTTTTTTGCAGTAATTGCAGCCAAAAGTTCCCTTAATCAGCAGTTCTTAGGGAAGGGAGGAAGGGGCCATGACCCCGAGCTCGTTTATGTAGCTGGGAAATGAAGGGAGGGGGAGAGAACACTGCTTTACACAAAGAGTATCCCTTAGACCCCCACAGTCCTTATGCAGCTGCAACGCTTATCAATCCTTAACAAGCAGAAGGGAAGGGAGAGGGGTAGCACTCTATCAAGTTCAGAAACTGTGCCTGCCCGTGCCTCTACTCCCTAATACCATGTCAGCAAACCAGCGGTTTCCCAGGTCTCTACTTAACCCTTACATATCCCAACAAGGGGGTGATGGGGGAAGCTTTGCCAGGAGATGGTGGGACCCATCCCGCACTTCCGCACTGCTCTTTGGACTCTAACTCATGTAAATGCTGAGCTCTCTTCCCTCTCGCAACAGCAGAGCAATGTCTGGCCCACAGAACTCAGCATGGTGGGCTTGTTTGGGGCTGGGATGAGGGGGTTCACTTCCCCTGAGACTTTGCTTGATGTTGGGGATGTGGGGGCTTGGAGCTGGAATGGGGTATGTTTGAGGATGGGGTGGGGGACGTGGTCAGGAGCCAGAGAGGACGTTTGCTCATTCAAGGTCAGGATGGAGGGACTCGAGGATGCAGGCAGGACTAGGAACTCGGGTGAGGAGTAGCTGAGAGGCTCGGTTGGGGACAGGGCTTGCGCCGGGGTCGGGAGGGAGGTGTTCCTGCACTTAGATCAGGGGGTGGATGCACAGTAGTCGTCAGCCAAGGGTGGAAGGGGATGCTAACACGAGGGAGGTCTGAGGGAGGTCAGGTCAGAGGCTTGTGTGCTACAGAGGCTGGGCTGGAAGGAAGGGCTTGCTGCATGGGAGGCTTGTTGGCTCTGGGTTGGGGATGGCATTGGGGTGGCTGGCTCTTTGATTTATTGATTGATTTATGGGGGTTTCTCTTTGTTCCATTGGGCTTAGTTTGCCTCTGTTTTTGAATCAAGTTAGCACCTTCCCCCCTTTCCCCCCCATCGTGTTTCAGTCATTGGGTTTTCTGCTTTAGGACAACCTTTCCTTCCCCTTCTTCCACTCTGCTGTCCCCATCCGGGTCTTTGAATCCCCTTTGCACTCAGAGACGGGCCATGGTCCTGACGGTGACTCCCAGTTTGTCTTTTCCCCGCGGTCTGTTTAGGTGCGGGCTGTTTACGCTGAGGGTGGCTGGTTCGAGGAAGGCATGAAATTGGAAGCTATTGACCCCCTGAATCTGGGCAACATCTGCGTGGCTACTGTGTGCAAGGTAACCTGGGCTGAGAGGGGACAGAGCCTATGGCATTGCTTAGCGACACCCAGTCGAAGCCTGTGACATCCGAGCCTCTGCTCAGCATCCTTAGAGGGCAGGACGAGGTAGGGGGCCTGTCTGGGGCTTGTGAGAGAGGAGGCAGGGCTCCTGTTTTGGGATGGTTCTGTGGGAGTGAGGCAGCAGGGAAGGAGGTTGGGTTGGGGCACTTGTTCAGGGGCCAGCAGGCTGCCGGCGGCTTCAGCAGTGGGAGCACTCAAGGCTGGGGTCAGTTTACAGATGTGTATATGCTGCCTGAGGACAAGTGGACTTGCCTGCAGCTGGTTGAGTTCCTTGACAGTGCAGCACATGTGCTATGCACTTCTCCCACATCCTCTGCCCCTGGATAATCAGAAGGGAGGATCTGCTTTCTCGGAAGACCTCAGCAGCTCCTGGAGGGTGTCAGCGCAGGGTACAGAGCGTGGCTTTGAGGAGTAAAGGGATGCAGGGAATGTTAGGGGGAAGGGCTGTGTGTATTCGTACATTCTGCATGGCCTGGCTTCCCAGTCTTGCTTTCTCTCCCATCACTCCCTGCTCCCTGTGGAGCGCCTTGCATCACTTAGCAGGGCGATGGGCGATATGATCCCGGGGAGCCTTTTCCTTCTCTAGACTCTGTAGTCCACTTCGCATAACTTGAGAGGCAGCATCACCAGGGGCTTCCAGTTCTCTCCCAGAAAATCATCGTCTCCTCGCACAACCCAGAGGGGAGGGACTTGAAGCAAAAGGTTGACTAGAGCTTACAGGAGGGCTCTTTATTTGTCCAGAAATGTTCCCCTGAAGCCGTGTCTGGCGCGAGCCATTTTGAGGGATTGGAACTGTGGGAACGAATAGGCGACTTTGTTAGCTCCTGCATCATGTACGCCTGCTATATTTTATAGGCTAAGCAGGGTCAGGCCTGGTTGGTGATTGGATGGGGACTCCCAAGGCACAGAGTGGTGGTGGTGAGTCAATGGGTTGTGCTGTTCCCTCTTGAGTCAGTAGTGAACCAGTGACCCATCACTGCCTCGAGGGGGCTCTGAGCTGCTGGAGGAGGCACTGTCCTTTGAGATGGAAAACTGAGCTCCTGACCATTTAAGGTTATGGCACTTTTCACAAGAGCGTTGACATCAGCCCTGTGTGCCTGTCAAATTCCATTCCAGGTCACTAGGTCCTGTTGACTAAAACTCCTGCTGCAGTTTCAGCTGGAGAAGCTCCCACTCCCCCATCTGTGATACAACATTTGAGTGTATTGCTGTGCATTGTTTAGCACCTACCATGCTCCACCCCAGAGGTGGCTGCATTTCACTAGCGAGGGCATGATCCTCCGATAGACAAACCATAGAGGCCTTGGGGATCTTTCAGGATGAAAGGCTTTAGAGCAAGCTGAGCTGCTCTTCTCATGCCCTTCCCTTGTGTTGTCAGGTCCTGCTGGATGGTTATCTCATGATCGGCATTGATGGGGCAGCATCTGCAGATGGCTCTGATTGGTTCTGTTACCATGCCTCCTCACATGCCATCTTCCCTGTCAACTTCTGCCAGAAGAACAACATCGACCTGACCCCTCCAAAAGGTGAGACTCTGAAACCTCCTACCCCCCACCCCGAACTCTAAGGTCACTGGGCTACACCTCTCCTTAGGGCACATGATGACTTAAATGTGGCTCGGACTGACCAAAATTATGGGGCCCAGGCCTGCTTGCTTCTTTTTTGAAGAGTCAGGGTTGGTGAGGTTGCAACAGCTGATCCATTCGAACTGGCCTTACTCTCACGTCTTGCTCCAAAGAATGTTTAGTATTTAATGGCTCCTAATCTGAAATAAAATGGAAGTCTGATCTGAACTTGGCTTCTCTATCACTGCCAGCGGATTCTATACCCCCTGGGTTGTCTGATCCAGAAAATGAGGGTCTCCTCCTGCTTTCAACACTGCCCTTGACATTCCTGGTGGCAGGAGAGAGATCATGCCTAGTAATGTGTTTAAAGTCCATTTCCTCCTGCATGTGGTGATTGACAGGGGCTGTTTAATTTCTGCTGAGTCCCTGTTGGATATGTTTGTCCATGTCTCAAAACTATTACACCGCTTGATGCTGTTCCCAACCTGTGCTCAGCAAGGGAGTCCCGGACTGCTGTGCATTGGCAGAGCGGTGCAGTTCCTCTTACCTTCCTTTGAGCTGCATCCTGGAAGTGCCGGGGGATAGTTGTGCAGCCTTGTGAGCTGCTGCTCCTTCCTTGCACACACTCTCTTTCTGCCGGCTCTTATGCCCTGTGACCTTTCTACTTTTGCAGGGTATGATGCAAAGAATTTCAATTGGACAAGTTACCTGGAAAAGACCAAATCAAAAGCTGTGCCAGTGCGGCTCTTCAACATGGTGAGTGCCGGCTGGGAGGGGGGCAAGGCAGACACACCAGCTTGGACTCAGCATGCTGCCAGGAGCAAACACACCAGGGGAGTTTCTGAGCTGGGCTGTTCTGGGAGGTTTCGCTCCCGTCAGTGGATGTGTCCTGAGTTCTTTCCCATAGGCTCCACGAGGAAGGCACTTGGTGGCTGGTGATGACAGCGGGTGCTGTCTTGCTCTGAATTTCATAATGGAATGAGCTTTTGATTAGGGCGACTTGCATTTCTTTAAAGCCCACACGGGTCTCCAAGCTCATCACAGATTGTCCATACAGGGATCAGTCTCTGCACTGAAATGCAGCCCTCTCTGGGAGGGGGAGGCAGGAGTCATTCCACACCAGGAAAATGGCATGATGGTGTCATGGGATAGTGCCGCACCTGTCTCACTTCCTCGGTCCCCATGACTATGCTGGCTTATGGGGCTCAGTCAGACGTCCTTCGAACCCTGCAAAGCTCTACCCGCCGTTTAGCATCTGGCCTCTCTGTGGTCAGGCTGAGCTTCGCTGGGGATTGGTCCTGTTTGTATGGGGGTAGCTGAAGTCCCCCGTAGGTATCATGATATGGACTTTGTTGAGAGACACCAAAGAGGCATCACTGTGCTCTGTCTCCTTTTCCTGAACTACAGGCATAATCACACTGGTGTATTTGCATTAGGACTTGGGATTGGCCTGGATGTGACTGGGTTGGGTTTTTCCTCTTCCCAGGACTGCCCAAACCATGGCTTCAAGGCCGGCATGAAGCTGGAAGCAGTGGATTTGATGGAGCCCCGACTCATCTGCGTGGCCACTGTAAAGCGTGTGGTCCACCGCCTCCTCAGCATCCACTTTGATGGCTGGGACAGCGAGTATGACCAGTGGGTGGACTGTGAGTCACCAGATATCTATGCTGTAGGCTGGTGTGAGCTGACGGGCTACCAGCTGCAGCCACCAGTGGCCCCAGGTTGGTGCACACTGATTGGTTCTTCTGCCCCGATCGTGGTGACGCTGAATTTGGTGGCAGGTTTCTGACCCACTGCTTTCTATGTCCTGCTCTTCTGTGACTTGTGGGGAAGAGAAACCGTCTCCCTAGTCCCACATGGACTCCATACACCCCTCACCCCCTCTCTCAGCCTGGCTCACTCACTGACCAGAGGAACCAGATCTGCGTGGTGAGGAGAGAAGACCAGCAGTTTGAGGTGGATTTTAGTCTCCCTTGTTTTCTGTCCCATCAACCAAAGGGGGATTGCTCCTGCTGAAATGGGGCATCACACGAGCACTTCCATGCCCCCTTCTAGCTGTACTCTCTCTCTTTCCTTACCCCACCCAACCTTGCAGCAGGTGCAGCTCTACCGCCCTCCCTTTCCCACGCCCTGTGATGACACGGGTGTCACTCCTCTCTTCAACTAGCAGGGGCTGCCACTGTTACACTTCAGATACCTTCCTTTCTTCCATCCCAGAATCGCTAGCCTCATCCCTGCACTACCCCATCTTCCCTGGTGTACCACTGCGCCCCCAGCTATGCCCAGCCTGTCATGCTCACCTCACATCCATACACCTAGCAGCACCACTATAGCCAGCTCTTCCCTCTGCTTTTGTGGCAGGCTGGCTCAGGGAGAGGGAGTGGGCTGGTGGATGTGGGTCTTGTATCTGCCTTATAATGTGGCATTCCAGTTATCTGCTGGTGATGGAGCCCAGCTTTCATTTCCCTCTTGTCTTGATGACAGAGCCCATGACGCCAGTGAAGGTCAAGGAGGTGCCGAAGAAGAAGAAGAAACCCTATGGAAAGAAAAGTGAGTGACAGTTTGATTAGCCCCGCCTCCACAGCGCCCTCCTTTTCCCCCATTGGCTGGAAACTGTTAAAAGAACCCTCTCAGGTGTGACTCACCGCAGGCAGGAGAGGGGCCTTTTCTGACTCTGGATACACTTGGCCCAGTGTGTGTTTATAGCTTCCATTATTCCTCTTTGCAGCTCGTCATGCTGCTGTTGCTGAGGAGAGACCTGGGCACTGTGTGGGGGGAGGATGCTAAGCTGTGTCTGTTGGCTCCAGTCTAGACTAGGACTGCCTGCCTCTGAGAACGCTTCCAGGTGACTGACACGTTCGTCGGCAACGTGCAGCTTCCCCGTTGTCCGTAGAATGACGGGGAGCCCGGTCTGGGTAGCTGGGATCAGTCCATGATGTGAGCTTCTAACAATTAGTGTTAGGGGATGAGGATGGTTATGGTGATGGACCAGAAGCTAATGGGCTCAGACCATGTTGTGTGTGTGTGTGTGTGTGTGTGTGTGTGTGAGAGAGAGAGAGAGAGAGAGCGCACCTAAAATCAACAACTCCACGGTGCTAGGTGCTGTACAAACATAGTAAATGACATTTCCTGTCCCACAGAGCTTATATTCTAAAAGGCCATAATGCCCTAACTAACATTATACAGACACCAAATACAGGGTCACCCTGCCAGTTTTTCAGGATCTAGGCCCTGAGCATTAAGCAAAGCACTTACTGAGCTCAGTGGGCCTGCTGAGGTGCTTAAGTGCTTTGCTGAACCAGAGCCTTAATGTATAAGAACTTGCAGCTCGATATTTAGGATGATGGGAAGAGTGATTATAGCCATCTTCCACTGCCTCTCTTCGGAGTGTGTTTATGTGGAGTGCGGGGAGTTAACCCCTGCAGACGCTCCCCACCACTTCAGAGCGAGCAGCGACTTGGGAGTGTGTCTGATTGGGAGAAATATCATGACCTTCCAGCCAATCAGAATGCATTTTGTTGGTCAAGTGAAGCCTCTGCGCCGGGGAGGTTGAACACGGTGTTTAGTAAAAGGACAGATTTCCCCAACACTCTTTATTCTTCTTTGTTAAGGGAAAAAGATGTCTGCCAAAACCCGGTCCCTCAAGATGGCAGCCAAGAAACCAGCTGGCCCAAAAGCAAAGCGGGAAGCAAAAGCTGCAAGCAAGGCCTTACTGGAGCCAGCACCTGATGAGAGTAAGAAGAGGGGGTCGCTCCAGCCTGCAGCCCCTCCCCTACATGCTGGGTGCCATTAGCAATCCTGTGGCCTGCTCCCCTTCCTAGCAGACATGGCATGGGGCCCCTATGGCCTGGGCTGGGGAGACAGCACAGCCAAGACTTAACTGTCTTCCACAGAAAAGGTTCTGGGGGTTTGCATAACTCCATGGCAATGAAAGCCGAGGGTTAGCGCAGCCCCAGCATACACAGAGCAGCCTCTAAACAAAGGAACTGACTGCTGCATAATGCTGTGAGCAGCTGTATGTGAGACACGCCTCACTGCTGGGTCCCTCATCGGCCTCAGCAGGTCCCAGTTGGGGGGGGATGCGTTTCTGACTGTGTGAGAGAGGGAGAATTTCTCCCCAGAGAAAGGTCCCAGAATGACACAGCTGCTTCTGGAGGCTGACTGGCCCTGTTTAGTCCCAGAACTGGTACAGCACCCATAGCATGGGCTTCCCCTGACCTGGAGGGCTGAGATGGGAGGTCACTCTGTGTTCTGCTCCCTTCTTGGTCTCTACTGAGGCTGCCAGTAAGAGGGGCCAATTGGGCTGGTATTTGTATGTGATGTGGGCACCTGCTCGCTGGGAAATGGGACTGATGGGACCCCCAAAGCATTTGTCACTGGGTGTCCGTATGAACAGAATTTGTCACTGGGTGTCCGTATGAACAGAGTGGGCCCCATGGAGCTGTTGACACCAACTGTTAATGAAGCTTTCGGGGTGGACTGATTTATCCTCTTTCCATCTCTCAATAGTTATCACTGTGCAAGTGAAAGAGGAAACTATCGACCCGTCAGCAGTGGAATTCGGAGCCCCAGAGCTTCCCATTCTGATAAGCAGCATAAAGCAGGAGGTAGAGGACTAATCCCTGATCCCTCGGGTGGGATCTCCTGGCCTTGAGCAGGGATGTGCACTGCACTCTGGGGAAGCCCCGAGTAAAGCTGTGCAGGAGACAAGAAGGGGCATCGTTCCTTTGGGCTGGGCACTCCCAAAATGTGTCAAAACTCCCTTTTATCCTTGCAAGAGAACAATCCCCAGTGCCTGCGAGCTCCATTTTGGAGGGTTTTTTTAAACCCCAGGTCACAGCTTCCAGAAAAGGCACCAAACTTTGAAAGCAATACAGCTCATACTTAGCTGATGGGCTGGAGTCTGAGGGTGGATTTCTGAGTCTGGGAAATCCTATTAGCCCACAGACATGACTCTTTCTGAGCTCTGTAGGAAGCTGCTGCTGCACTGTGGGGAATGCTAGCATTTCAGGCTGGTGTCTGGAGCCTGCAAACTGTGATCTGAGAAGCATCGAAGTTGCAGAATCACAACCACTGTGTGCGGTCTCAGGGGGAGCAAGTAAGTCAGGAACATGGCTGCTGTCGCTAGGGGAACAACCATGATGTGCTGCTCATCCCTCTCTCCCATCCTCTCTGTGACATGGACATGGAACCAAAGAGGGCTCTAGAGAGCAGCTGGGAAATGGAGGAGATAGAAAACAAGTTACAGGAGGGAATCTCTCTCTTGGTTTTACTCATAAATTAATTTTTTCACCTGCTGTGAGATGAGCTAAATCTTATCCAGCCCAGAAGAAGACAGCAGGGTATTTATGTTGGCTCTTTTCCCCACTCCAAGCCGCACAATACTGCTGGATGATTATTCTATTTTTACAATCCCAGAGTAAATTCCACCAATGAAATGTACCGTAATGCTCTGTAAATAAAATGTAATAGAAGGTCAAAGACTTGCCTGTTGGTTTCAGGAACTGCAAAATGCCTGCTCCGATCAAGAGGTGAGAGGGGAAGTCTGAACACGAAAGCAATAAGGAGGGTGTGGGTGTGGTGGTTGTATTGTAGCCCTCAGGTACCCACCTCTGCTTGTTTGTAAGATCTGCAAAGAGCAAGTGCCAGCTGCTAGCGACATGGCACAGTAGGGGAGGCTCCTTGTCAGCTGCTCTGGTAGAATTACTTTCTAGGACTCTGCAAGGGTCCCCAAGCCAAGTCCTCAATCATGGCAACATGAAGGATGTGCATGTACACCCAGCAAATGGAACCGCCAGCTAGGATGGAGTGTGTGTAGGGGAGGTGAACTTTGCCGGGCACCAGTTGGCACAGAACTGTTTGTTCTTGTGGCGTTAGTCTGTCCCCCACCCATGCTGAGCTTTGACTTTCATACAAGCCGATGCTCAGGTGTGCAGTAATAGATGTTCTAGCTCCTTTGTCGAGTGAATTTTTTTTCAGGGGGTTCTGCCTTTTCCTTCCATTGCTGCTTTCCTTAAGCTGTCAAGTAACTTTAAACCCCCAAATACTTAATAATTATATAACTGCTTTCCTGGAAATTGTTCCTAATTTTAATAAAATACTTTTCATGTAAACAAATTTCTCTGTTCCCCCAATGTGTGGGGAAACCAAACACAGCAGCACTGGGCTAGCGCGTAAGAATGGGCCAGTGAAACTGGTCAATTTCACTTTTGTTTTACAATCTAGTTTGATAAGTGAAATGTAAAAGGCAAAAACTCTGCCAGTGATGATTAACATGCTACATTTTAAACATTTTTATTTTTAATCCTCTGAAGGTGTCAGTGATACAGGTAAGAACTGTGTTTGCTCTCATGTCATTTAAGTATATGATACAGGAGAATAAGATAGTGGAGAATACTGTTTCAACATGATTTTCACTTCCACTTAGAGTCCTTAGATGCTGTTGAATCATCTCTAAGGTTCCCTTTTCTGCTCTGGGGGCAGGGCATTTTGGAGTGTTTTGCTGTTCCTTGTGCCCTCACAAGCTGGCTGTTCAGTGTCTGCTACAGGAAGCAGTGGTTGGAATGGCAGGACCCCGCATCCTGACTTAGGCCCTGCCTACACTAGAAATAAAGGTTATGACTGAAAGACATTTTCAAAACATGACCTATTTCCCAAGTCTAGACAGGGCCTATAGTGCAAGAAAAGGGTTCTCCATCCTCCCTCCCGTCCCCCCATTGGAAAGGGTGCCAGGCATGGCAGATGTATTTTATTGGTCATGCTGCATTCAGGCACCAGCCTCTCATACTGTAATGGACAAATATGCTGGATTGAGCACTGCTTGTTGGGGCTGCAGAGGTGTGAAACTCCAGCCCCAGTGGAAGTGTATATTGAGGTTTGTTTTTCCTCCTAACTGGAATATTAGCTGTGAGCAAAGGGGCTGGAGCAGGTCCTCTGGGATAACACACCTGCCATTTCTCCTCACCACCCGTTCACAGCAATCCAGAGAGCCCATGCAGCATGTGATACTGAAGGGACATGACTCTTTGAAGTGCTGAGGAATGACAACGCCAGTCCTTTCCTGCCACTCTCTTGCAGTATAATACATCCATATGGGGTAGGCTCTAAGCATTCTGCTGCTGTAAGCGAACTAGAGAATGAACACACACACACACAGCCTCGAGTCACTTACACAAACAGATGTGCGTTTGCTGTCCTGAGCAGCCCTCTGCCTCTTCCCTGTGATTCTTGCATGGCCAAAGGCAAACAGAGATAGCTAAGGAAGTTTAGGTCCCTGCAGAATTCCTTGTAACTGACCAATACCTTCTCCAGTTCCCTAGAACATCTCAGTCTGCACGAACAAAGTCTAGAGGCCAAATTCTCAGCCAGTGTAAATCAGTATAGTTCAAGGGCAGCTACACCAATATAAACCAGCCAAAGATCTGGCCCTAGGTGTTGAAACAATACATGAAACTTGGTGATGGGTTTGCCATTGCAAAGGACTGTGGGTAACTGACACCCCCCTCTAACAAGAAACTAGATGACACCAGCCCTTAAAGTCTTTCACTGTCTTTAAGTGTGTTTTGAAATGGGAGGGGGCAGAAGGGGAGGCGCTGAATACATCAAACTGCTGCCAGCATTGGAAAGGATCAGTGATACATATATTATGGATAAATGTAGCTTTTCCAACAGCATGTAGCTAATCACATTGGCTATAGAGCCTTTCTTCCCTACGGGGCTACAGAGAGCATTGCCACCTCGCTAAACGTAGACCAGGCATCAGCCAGTGTGCTGTGAGCGGGACCTACGTGCTGCAGCCTGCCTTCCTTTTTTCTGGCGAGATGGGAGATTCTGCAGCCCCTTCATGTAAAATAAAATAGGGGCTTTACTGAACAAAAATAAATAATACACTCGGTACAGTAGCCCCCTGTGCTGTTTATTTTGAGGTTTAAATCCATAAATTTTCAATTTGATGCCGATGTTTGTATTAATGACGCAGACCTGCAGGGTGGCAGTGTGAGGGAGAGAGCTGGGAACTTGGGCAGGGAGACAATTGGAACTGTTCACACCTGGGAAGGTACAGAGGGTGGTTGGGGATTGTGGGATACGTACATTTACTGGACTTTTCTTCTGAAACCATCAGCAGTGGAACAGTTAGCAATGTTGGCATTTCAATATTCGTCACGAGGTTTGAGACCTGACACTCCATTGAGATCAATGGGGTGTGTTTCAGCCCCCTCCCACACACAAGTTATTGTTTCAGGGTCTCTGCAGACTCACAAAGTCAATACTGCATGTGTTACACTCAGTTTGTGTTTCCAGTGTTACCTGCTCAACCAGGCGGGCTAGAAATGGATTGTTTTTGACTGAAAGCTCCAATTCCACAGCAAATGGCTGGCCACTGAATCAGAGATGACATGAAACCCTGTCTGTGGACAGCAGATTGTTCCCCCACCATTAAAAATCAGCCACCTCTGGGGTGAAACATAATGCACAGCAGTGCTTTAGGGCAGGAAGAGAACAAGAACATGTTCCACTGAAACTGCAAGAGGAACTTAGGGAGGCAAAATGGAATTGTTCAAGCTATGATTTGGCATAGAAGTGGGGGGGCGGGCAGGAGGGGATGCTCCCTCATGAAAAGCACCATGGGATTGTCAGAAGGAACTCTCACATCTGCTTTTTCCTCTCAATGTGATTTCCTCTTTGAATTCCCTCCCCTGCAACACACACTGCACACGTACTTCCCTTCCAGCCCCCATCCCGCCAGAACCCCAGAGCTCAGTCTCCCATAGCTATGGTCAGGTCTGCTCCTTTCCGCTGTGCAATGGAAATCTCACTGCAACGTGGATAAAAGCCCATTAAAGCTTCTCTCTCACTAAGCTGCTTCCTACTAGCTGGTCAAGTGCCTCCACAGCCACACACTGATGATAAGACACTTCAGCAGCTGCAGCATGGCCACTCCCTCTTACGCTTTGCTTTTCTTGGTGCCTCTGGCTTGTGCTTTTCTTGACCTCTTTTCCTTGCTGGGGCTTCTTTCTGCTTTGATTTTGGCCTTAACTTTGTCTGGATGGGCCCTTCTTCCTTTCTCCATACCCCAGCCTGGGCAGCTTTTGAAGACAGCAGAAAGCTTCACCTTCTGCCCGCGGACTTCTGCTGGGGACCCACAGGTGGCTCCCACGCGCAGGTTCAGTTTGTCAATCCATCTGAAAATGGGGCAAGAGACAGGAAGGAGATGAGAAAAACTCCAGGTGGACTTCGCAAATTACTGGCACAAATGGCTGTGCTGGCAAACCAGGGCGTTTGCTCTCTGATAACAAGTTCAAAGGGAGTTTGGGGCTGGCTTGACAGGCCTGGAGAGTGATGCCCTCTGTGTACCCCTGGAACGGGGACAGCTCAGGCACGGCACTTCAGTCTCCCCACATGTGCAAACAGTTTGGAAAGTTTTAACACCCCAAAAATGCAGTTGTAGAGAGTAAGAATCGCAGCCGCAGTCACCCCAGCCAGGACCTATTTCAAGGGTTCCCAGTCCTCACACTTCAGGGTATAAGGTGAGCAGCAACTGAGGTCATGAGGAAGTACATGGCAGGCTACAGCACAATGAGGTGCATTATGTGGCGTTTACACCTCCCTTGGAAGCATCAGGCATTGGGAATTGGGTGAGACAGGCAACCAGAGGACCTATGGTCTTTTCTGATCTGCCAGTTCCTTTGCTTTTCCTCTTTGCCCTCATCTACCCATATGCCTCAGTCCTACTGTGGAGAGCTCCTCTCTAGGCAGGAGGGCCCAGATCCTCAAAGGTATTTAGGCGCCTAACTCCCATGGATTTCAGTGTTCTCATGGATTAGCCTCCCTGCTAAGACTGGCAGCAAAGTTGCATATTGGTCCCCATTGCGATGATATTTTCAGTGTGTGAACACCTCCCTGGCAGGAACTGAGCAGAGATCCACACCCTCCTATCAGTCAGACCCAGCCAGGCTGCTGGACCTAAGCAGTGACTCACCTGCGCAGTGGGAGGAGCTGGCAGTCGCAGTGGAAGGGGATGTCTCTCAGGTTGATGACCTCCAGCCCTGTGAAGCTGCGCAAGTCAGGCACGTTATACATGTTGTTGTTGTCCAGGTACAGACTCTTCATCCTGGGACCCAGACCAGCAAAGGCCCTTGAGGAAAGCTGCAAATGATGAGATGGGGCTGATGAGTCAAAGGAAAACAGCTGTGGATGATTTTAATAGGGAGTTAGATATCTGCATGCACTTTCTGATTGTGTGTGTGTGTGTGTTAAATAGCTCTCATTGGTTCCTGTCTCCACTGTGAATGGGGCTTGAGTTACTGTCACTTTGTATCAATACTTCTCAGCACGCAGGTCAGTTTGATGACATAATTTGAGACAAAGGAAGTGCAGGAGCTCATTGTGAGAGAAGCAGACTTTCAGAAAAGTGAGTTCTCTGTCTTTATTGGTTAATGTAATTGTGGTACTTCATATTTAGTGCTAAATATTAATTCCCTTAAATAGCTCTGAAAGCCTCTACCTGCTTCACATATTGAAATATTGCACTTTGTGTCTCTTAACCTGCATCAGACTCAAGTTGTCAGTGTCCTATTTCATTTTGCTTTATTTTCTGGATTGTAAACTCTTTGTAGCAGGGAATTTCACCTGTTCTGTGTTTGAAAGTGCCGGGTAAATGTACGGTGTTATATACATGTGTGTGTGATTCTTAATAGCTATATTTAACACCCTTTTCAATTTGATATTTTGTTCTTTTTGGCAACGGGATGTGTTACGCTCAGTCTAGCTTTTCACTTTGCCTCAGGTTTTCCTTTAACTAATGGCAAGGCACTGAACTGAGCAGATTGTAGGGGCTTTTTCAGTCCCTGGATAGCTGATTGTCATCTTATTTTTTATCTCCGTTTAAACAGTCCCTAGTCCAGCAAAGCACCTAAGCATGTGCTTAACTTTAAGCATATGAGCAGTGTCATTTTCAAGGTCGCTACTTGTGTTTAAGTGCTTAGTTGGGTCAGCGCCGTAGAGTACGTGCTTTCTAC